GTTCAGTCTCACAATGATTTTGAAAGCATATTTTATACAGCCCCCAAACTATTTCTGTATTAGATATTTACATGCATGAGGATAAATTCTAATTGCTTTTAGTTTAGAACAGAAACATGGAAGAAGCATTAGTCCCAGGTTGTTCAAAATGTCTGCTACATCTGAACTCAACAATGGTTCAAAACTGAAAATCATTCCAATTTTGTAAAACTGCTGCTACTGGTTTTGTCAATAAAGTTTAAGCAGATGGCTTATATGTATATGTGTGATATTTTTTATGTTAAAAAAGCTACAGTTTTGCAGTATCAACATGCAAATTTTATGAGCCTGAATGTCATTATTTTTGTATATACAAAAACCATACCAACAGCAGGCATGTATATTAGAACTACAAGCATGTATATTAGAACTACAAGCATGATACAAATATCTTATTTCGGTTTCAGGGTGCTGTAGGCTTTTATGTTGAACATGTATATACCTCAATGTATATAAACTCAAATGCTCAAGTGTTGAATTTAAATTAAGAATATTGGATAAGTGAGGAGCTATAAAGATTCGAAGATCACCCAAAGTAACCAAGTTGCATCTGACAAGGAATAGTCTGAGAAAGCAAAAAGAGGTATTCCTATGAGAAAATGTAGGTAATTGCTCATCAGAGAGGCTCTTTTATAGAGCCTCTACATGTACCCAGTTCCAAAAAGTTTATGGGGCTTTGATGCAGCAAAGTAGTATTAGAGGGGCAGGGCTATTATGATCAGACACCTCCACAGCAGTGAAAGCATGGCTGATGTCTTCAAAGCAAAAGCACACTAAAGAAAATAGAAAACATTCTATAGATGTTTCAGGGAAAACCTCTTTCCCCTTTAGGCACACTGTATTATTGATAGCAGAGGTAATTTATGTTACCTGTTCTAATAAGCCATCCCAAGTATCAGAGAGGCACCATGCAGCTTCCTTTCTTAGAAGCATCTGAAAGATGAGGACCACCTCAGAGCCCTTAAGGAATGTTTTTGCCCTCCAAGTGGAAGAGGAAAAAAGGGGTCTTAGAATCAAATGCATATTTAAGGGGCCAGGCTTAGAGGTAGTTACCTTGATTGCTGTCCAAACTCCATTGGTCAGAACTAGTCACATGGTGTCACCTATATTGAAGAAGGCTGGGAATTGTAGTTTGTATGTATAGGAAAATGAATCAGTTTGGTGAGATTCTTATACATAGTATCTAGCACATATACATTTTTATTTTTAAAGAAAAATATTTCAAGTGCTGTGGTAGTGGTGATTATTTAAAGAAAGCTTGCTTACGGCAAACTCACTGTTGCTTAAGTTCTCGCTAACCCATGGGGACACTGGAACATTATGGGCTGATTAAGGATTCTACTTGTTCATTCTAGGCATCTCACAGCATTTCAACACTGTTGGTGGAGTGGGTACTGTTGCAAATAAAGACCATTTGGCTTCACATTTATGGGCTCATAATCTGAGCAAGGTTGACCATTTCTACATGTGTATGTGCACTAGTAAATACATACATATTAGTATGTGACATGTTAAAAACACCAAAGCAAATCATAGAAAAAAAGCAGAAAATTGCAGAGAGAACGATTTTCCATATGTGAATGTGGAGTAAATCATCTGCAGAACCTAAATCTTGACAAATGATTGCTACCTTCTGACATTCTTTCAACATTCCTTACTTGTTTAAATAATGGTCACAGCCATCTCTGACTCTGGTTCTTGAAATTCTTTGTAGTAATTAAAAAAAATTTAACCATCCTGAGTTACATTTTATTGATGAATCAAGTCATATTTTATGTCTTGTAAGTTTTAGTCTCTCTTTACAGTTTCCCTAGGGTTTCTCCAGGGATATTCAGAGACATGACTCAAGAGGAAGATTGGCTGACAACTCAGAGCTCTGCTGAATTTTAATGTTCATTCTACTACATAATAAAACATCTCATTCTTTTCAGCAAACAGATAGGGTTCAGGAGACAAGATTAGCATCACATCTGTGGTTGTCTTGAGAAGGATAGAACAGAATTTAGATGAAGTCTAAGGTGGATTGTATAATATTTTAGTATTTAATTTTAAAATCTAAAATTGTTTAGTGAGAGATCTGCTCTAATCACTTTCCCAGAGAATTGAAGAATTTAAAAATTAAATCTGTAAACATAAATAGTCCAGTAAAGATTGAACTCTTATACCGGTGTTCTGTTTCTGGTTTTGCACCAAGCAACTCTGTGATCCTGAGATTACCTTGACCTTTCCTTCAAGTCTTCCAACATCTGTTATTTTTCTTGAGGTAGTCCCAGATGAAGAGGGAATTTGGCAATTATTTGGTGCTTTATATTAACAACAGAAAAGAATATATCCTGATTTATTCTGATAAAATAGGTCATAATCGGCAAGTTCATGAGCCATTTCCCAAATAGATGTTTTTTTGTGTGTTTTTTTCCTCCATAAAGATATAGCATGTGATGATGCAGGCTGCTTTTCATCTGAGGGAGAAAGGCATTTTAAGGAAAGATGAAGCATTTCAGCTCAGAGGACTCACACCTGCTTTTGAGGACAAAGAAGAAAATTAGGGAAATATATAAAGAACTTTTAGGTTGTTTCCTAATATAATTAAAATCCTTTAATTATAGCAACCTTTATAAGATGCTATGAAAAGGTAAACACATTACTGTATCTATGCAGTATCTCATAAAAACAGAAAACAATCTACACTAATAAAAGAAAAATATGCAAATTGACTGTACTTCTGCAACACCCACCAGCCAATCAGGGGTGAGTATGCAAATTAACCCAACAAAAATGGTGGGGTGAGACACCTACTCTGCAGAGGTAGGGTGGGGGGTGGGGTCAGAGGAAGCTACAGGAGCAGTGCTCCAGCTGGAGTGGAGAAGACTGAAGGCTCCAGCAGGAGCAAAAACGGAAGGCGGTGGCCAGAGTAAAGGCCTGGGTCCCTGGTGCCGGAGGAAAATCGGTGCTGGCAGCCAGGGGAAAGGAGGCCTATTGCATGAATCTTTATGCAAGGGGCCTCTAGTTTTTTGTATAATAGGCTTTCCCTCTTCTACTTGATTAACTAAAAGGGCAGCAAGAAACTGTTGCCCTCCTGGCTTGTATAAGTTCACTAATTGATAGCTACATAGCTCAGGTGCAAACTGGAACATGGGCCAGGCAGAGTGGCTCCATGCATCCAGATATGCTCTTGGTTACCTTTGATGGACCAGGCACTGTGAGCTAGGTGCTGGAGGCAGCGTGGAACTACCTTAATAGTCACCAGTCAGGTGCCTATTGTAAAATGGGATCAGTAGGATAGTTTGGGAATATAATTAGGAGACTAATCTCATCCGTGGGAGGCTGCAAGGGAAAGAAAGCCGCTCTGAGGAAGTGGTATTTAAGCAGAGACTTGAAGGCTGAGTAGGAGTGAGCTAGGTAAAAAGGAGGCCTCTTAAGGAAGAGAAACAGCATGTACAAAATACCTGAGACAAATCAGAACCTCCCACATTCAAAGAAACTGAAAAAAAAAAAAAAAAAAAAAAAAAAAAAAAAAAAAGTCCAGAGTGACTAGAGCTTGAAGAGCCAGGGGAAAAGAATTGGGGCTAACAAGCTATTGGCTCTAAGGTTTGTTGTGTTGGGCTGGTCCTGCGTGCCTGAGGGAGTAGGGGCCCCTGGGAGGAGCAGGGTCACTGTGTAGCGGCTTCCGTTTTGCAGAATGTCTGCCATCACAAGAGTCAACCTGAGACTACACTGTAGTGCTACTCTGACTCCAAAGACTGTAGCTTTTCATTTTAATTCATTCCCAGTGGTGCCTCCTCCTTCTGGGCCCTGGCCTGACCTTAGAGGGTACCAGGGGAATGGTTTATCTCCTTCAATCAGACTCCCCCCCTGAGGATAGCTTTGGGCAACGTTTTCCTGCCAGGTTTGTCATTTTCCTGTCTTTAATCTGGCTCACTGGCTACCCAAATTTGCCCACTCCGATGTTGTCATTCTCCTCTCCACCCACGAATAACAATCCCACTGAAGAACAACAAAAAAGCAGTGGTAAAAAAATTAAAATACCACTTGAATGAGACATCAGAGACAATAAAGTCTTTTCAGTGAAATTATACTAAAATGTAAATGACTGAAACACGCATAACTTCTCCTGTCTTCTTTGTGAAAGGTATCTTTTGTTTTGTGTATTTTTATTTTAAAGAAGTCTGCATACAAGCCTGCGTTTCCATGGTCCATCCGATGAAAAGGAAGACTAACTGTATAAAGGAAGTCTTTTAGACCAAGGGGGACATTTATTTTCTGAAAACTTTGACCCTAGGACTGTGGTCAGCCATAGACAACATTAAAAGGCATTAGACTCTGCTATGGTCTTTATGGATCAGTTAATAGTTCGCTCTTTAAAATTTAACAACTGCTCAAAGCCGCAGACACAAATAGGAACACTCTGGACAGGAGAGTCCCAGAAGATAGAAGATCTTAAGCTCTTCCTCCCACATGCCTCACCCAGCTCGCACGCACGCACAGCTCCTCTACCTCTTCCCTTGCCAGGGACCTGGCCGGGGGCAAAGGAGCATCTAGTGGAAGTCTCAGTGTCCAAAAAGCACTAAGTCCTGTTGCGTCCTCAGCCACTGAAAGTGCTGTCCTACTCTGATCACAAACCCTACCACCTACAGAGGGTAGGAAGGTGTTTCCAGATCCCACCCCGCCCCCAGCCAGGACCTGCAGAGAACCGGCCTGCCCTGGGAGCAGTCCGTGGCCGGCCCCCATCACCGCTCAGGCCTGCGGGAGCTCATCCAGAGGAAGCCCAGCGCGGGCAGCTGCAGAGCTCACTCCCTCACCCCAGGCCCCGCCCGCCCTCCTGGACCCCACCTAGGCCACAAGAGGACCTTCCCTGTGCTGCAGGGACTCTTGTTTACCGCCCTTCTTCTTCCCAGCTGTCAAATCTCATTCCTACAACCTCAGCCTCTGCACCCGATCTACAAAAAAGTTGCTCCTGAGCGGTTGGAGGGGCGTCATCGCCTCCTAGCAACGCTCCTAGCAACCGGATAACATCTGCTCCCGCTGGTCCAATGCGAGCGGAGCGCAGCTGCGAGCCCGCCTCGCGTTCCGAACCAGAGCGAGAGGCGCTTCGGAGCCGGAGGGACGGATCTGCGGGAGCCAGGGCTGCGGGCCGAGCTGCAGTTGCCGCCGCCGCCACCGCTGTCAGCGCCGCTGTCTGCAGAGTGACAGCCGCAAAGGCAGGGAGCACCGAACCCCGAAACCCGCGCCTTCAAGAAACAAGTGCATGCGCCCGTCTCCCGGTGAGTGCGCCCCGCTCCCAAGGTAGGTGTGGACTCTCCCAGCCCAGTGCCCTCCTCGGAGGCTCAGAAAGGACTCCTTTCCTTGCGGGGGAGGTTAGGAAGGGGTTTGGGGATCGCACTCCGCCCCCAGCCCATTGGAAAGTGGTCAGCGGGTAGCCCCAAATATCACGACTCAGTGGTCCAAAGGAAATGATCTTGGAGCTGGTTCTTGAGGATGTCCCTGCCCATCGCTGTTGGGATCGTGTTGGGAAGTTTTCAGTCCTTGTTTTTTTACCCTTGGACTTCGCTGCCTGTGTGCCTCAGCGGGGCTGGGAGCAGCAATCCCTCCCGGGGAGCCTTAAAATGACACAGTGTAGTCTCCGCTAATGGAATCAACACGTACCGTACTGGGGAGCAACATCCTTTTAGGTCCCGCTCTGGAAAGGGTCCATTTGGCCCGGGAGCAGCCCTTCTCGGTTTACTCAATCTCCTGAAAAGTAACCATAGTAACTCACCTCTCTTTTGATGGGATCCTCCTCATTGGCTGCCTATCTGCCTTTGGAAAGCTCATCTCTCTAAATATAGCAGATGATGAGATCTGGAAGCCTACATCTATGTAGAAAAGGTGCAGCGAAACATGCCCTTTAAAGAAAAGTGCCACTTCGCTATTTCAGAGCTGGTGAGAAGTAATGTGTATGCCAGAGAACGGTTGGATTGGTGTGTTTTGAGTTAACTGCTGGATTCTGACTTGAGAGACAATATTTTCTGAAATTATACAAATCCTAGCATTTAAAAACAAATTTTATCTTTCTGGCTGAGTTTAAAAAACAACAACAACACATTCACCTACCGGTAATCTCCCAGTCAATAACAGGTGAGATCAGTTATTCAGTTATTTCCAAAATTTCTTAGGATAGTTAAGATTCCTCATGTTTGGAATTAAATTTGGAGAAAATGAAATTAATAGTGTCTTCAAAGCTTGTCTATTTATCTCTCGGGTCCAGATCAAGCCCTCCCCCCTCACCCCCCACCTCAAAGACCTTGGTGTTGTCCTACTAAGTGCGTTCACCTGACTTTATAACCAGTTCAAGTAGGTGTGGTGATGATGTTTCCCATGTTATTTGTGTCTGTCTCCTTGTTTCAAAACCTCAGGTAACCATTCATTCACGAGCCAGAGGCTGTGAGAAATGCTTGCTGTGCAAAGGGGAACTCTCACCAGATTTTCTGAAGCTGTCCTAGAAATACACTTTTCAGATTGATTCAGCATTATCAGGTAACCACTGGCTTTTACAGGCATTACTGTTTAAATATGTATCCAGAGCAATAAATGCTAACGTAGCATTACCATAACTTACAAGATCAATAGGAGGGGTTGCTTCTATAGATAGCTGCCGGGTAGAAGTCAATAGAGGGTTTCTGTGGAAAGGACATTGGTGGGCCGGCAGATCTTCCCCCCCTTAAACCCCCGTGAATAGGGTGGGCCAAATTAGGTAGCCTGGCTCAGGGAACATGTCAAGCGGAAGCTCGCTTCTGCACACTGGTGCATGTCTGAATGAAGTCAGTGAAAAGAGCTCTCTAAGTTGCAAAAAGGGATTGTGGTGATGTTTTAAATTTAATTTGCATGAAGGTCATGATGATACAAACCCATCAGTGTTAAGCATTTAGACTCAATGTTCAAGACTGAATACAGTCTTTTAAGGAGTGCTCAGCCCTCCGGCGTTGTGTAACTTTCACATGTACTGAGCTATCCATGTGCACTTCCTGTAGGTAACCAGCCCCGCAAATTGTGATCAAATTCACGAAAATGGACCACGCTGCCTCTCTCCCCTTTCCCTGCTTCCCTTTGTAACAATAAATCATTGAACAATTTTGCTCAGAAACCTGTTTGAAAATGTATTCTGTTCTGGTTTTTGTATAGTGTTTATATAATTGTAGTTGGCATATGATTTTCTATCAGTTATGCTAGCAGAGTGTTTACGAGTATCATGAGGCTTTGAAAATACTGGTCTCCATAGTCATTGAAATATTTGTGGTTTAGTGATTTTAAGCATTAAAGATGACCATTTGAACCATCACAAATGTTGGTTTCAATTAGCCTGTAATACTACCCACCTTTTTTTTCTTTCTCCATCACAATTACTATATTTTATGGTGAAAAACAAATCTCAGGATACCCAAAAGACATACTGTCATTCTTCCATGAGATGTGGGTGGAGATCTAGTCATGCTATCAACCTGAGGGAAGTTTGAGGACAGCAGCCACAAATATTGGTTCCTGTACATGCCTTAGTTTTGTGCTTTAGTGATTTATACACATCCTATTTTTTATGTAATATGCATAGGAGTTTAAAATCACTCAGTGCCTTTAATTATTGAATGAGTCTGCCCTTTGGTGAAGACCACTGCCACAATCAAAAAGGTCAAGTAGAAGAGGCTCTTAAATTTTCATTCTGATTTTAGCCTGAATGTATAATGTGCAGAATATATGCTGTGTACCTTGGGAGAACAGATCTGTTTAAAATCATTCACCAGAAAATGTTATCATGGTTTAGCTTTAAACAAATCAAATAGTACCATTTTATAATTTATGCATTCAATCCTAGAAACATTAGTCAGAGTGTGAAAAGCAATTCTCACCAATTTATAGTTAAGGATGAAGTCACTCTCCTCAATAGGAACACCAGCTATAATTGAACATATAAAGAGGGGTATAAAGTGTGTGTGGGGGTATTTTGGTCTATAAGGCTCAGGTAAAGCTGAGATCATTCAGGTTTAAAATGGAAACCAAGCTGGGACCGGTTTGGCTCAATGGATAGAGCGTCAGCTTGGGGACTGAAGGGTCTGGGTTCGATTCCGGTCAAGGGCATGTACCTTGGTTGCGGGCATATCCCCGGTAGGGGGTGTGCAAGAGGCAGCTGATCGATGACACTCTCATCGATGTTTCTAACTCTCTATCTCTCTCCCTTCCTCTCTGTATAAAATCAATAAAATATATATTTTTTTAAAAAAATGGAAACCAAGTCCTAATTTCAGTTTTTTTCCAACTCTTGTTGGAAGTTTTTAGGTGTTTATGAACATTCCACGTTCTGTTTTATGTCATGGCACTTTCATGAGATTAAGATGATGCCTGTAATGTGGAGGAAAGTGGAAAGATTTGATGAAGTTGCTGGGTTTCTTGCCTCCACATCTGGGCTCTCCACTGAAGGCTCAGGCCAGCTGGCTTCAGCCCTCAAAACACTGACTTCCCAACAATAGGTCTAAACCTAAGGCACAGGCCAGTTCGCATTGCTCTATTTGTTAAAGTGATATGCTTCAGGAACCCAGAAAAGGGTGAAATTAGAAGAATTGCAGAAGCAGAGGTGTAAATGGACTGTAATCATTCAGCACTAAAACTGAGGCAGACACACAAGTTCTGGTTTAGGGGAAGCCAATCCTTGTCAAGCTCCCATCCCCACACCTTATTTTTAATAAGTTGTCTGTCTAAATAGTATCTATGCGTTCCTTCAGTGCAGCCTGCTTTTAGTCTGACACAATTCTCTTTGAATTTTTTTCTGATTAAAGTTTTACAAACAGGCAAATAACAGAGCCCTCTAGTTACGGCACTAATTCCCAGTGGGGCGGTGGGGGGATATTATTGAAACGCACAAGGGTTGGCTGGTGCTAGGTTCAGTACTGTAATACGGCTTTATATTTAGAATTAAAACCTTTTTCACGTTATAAATTATTGACTGTAAAGTGCAACAGAAAGTCTATTTGGTAGGCAGAGATCCAGGTGTCTCCTAAATACCATTGATGCTTAGAAGGGGAGGAGGGACAGGTTTGAAGCTGGAACTTCTCCTCTGTGGTGGTGTATAAGAGTATGTTTTCTTTTAAAAATGATGATAAAAGGGAAGTGTGGATCAGAAATATCACAAAAAGCGGGGAGATTGCAAAGAGAAGCAGGACTCAGAAGACTAGCCTCACTGCTGCCCCCCTGTGGTACCTGTGTCATCACTTCATGGCTCAGGTTCCCTACCTGTAGTGTGGGAGATAGACCAACTCTTATTAAATTGGGTGGTGTGAGTGAGCTTGAGCACATTGCAGTTTCATGAAGCACCTTTAGCTCCTTAGAAGACAGGCTGCTTGTGAAGGAAGAACATTTTGCCACTAGAGCTGCTCCAGGTGGTGACACACACTGGGCCCCGTGTGCACGAGGGCAGAGAACCACCCAACTCCAGGGCTAATTCTCCCCCTCACTTCTGAGTGAGGAAAGTTGTTCACCAGTCACTGCATCTTTTCTTTTTCTACAAACTTTTTGGGATACCTGGCTAAATGTTCTGGGTGCTGCAACCCAACCTGATAGTGGTATCAAAGTGGAAGATGATATAGATGCTATAAATCAGATACTTTTCAAAAGACCACCTGCTGTGTGTATATTAGGGATTACAACCCTCCTCTCTGAGCAACAGACCTGGGTATCTAAGGCAGTTATAGCCTCTCCAGAGACATTATTGGGAAGATATTTCCTGGGACCTATCGATAGCTATGTGGTTGCTCTACTATTTCAATAATTTTCTTTCTTGTTCCCACTTTCCAAAGTGAAAGGTGGAGTGGAAGGGAGAATCATCTTCAAAACAAGGAATGCATTTCTGAAGGGTGTGAGCCACAGTTTTCCCAGGCAACCTACTGCTCTTGGTCTCTTCTCAGGACTAGGGCCTGATCATGGCAGAGGTTAGGCTTTGTGCAGCATCTAAGGTAACTTCACAGTTACATGGATGGTCACCTCCCATGGAATGCTCTTCTCATTGGGTCCAAGGCCACCACCAGGGAACAAGATAGATTTGTGGAATTGGCAGTGTTTCACTGAATATCCTGTGCCTGTAACTGGGGCGGTCCCAATTGCTGCTGGTCTCTTGAGAAACCATTCTAACTCACCTGCTGTCAGTGCCCCATTGAAAGCTCCTGTGAAAGTCTTCCAGGAGCCACAGCTGGTTGGTAATTTTAAACTGTCAGTAGAGTCAGTCTTGTGCTTGGGATAGATGCTCCATTTGATGAAAGAGATTATTCCATTGATTCAGAGCACAAAACTGGCACTGAGTTCTGCCCCCATATGACACAGTTCACAGAAGGGTGCCAGGCAGAGGCTGGTGAGGAGACGATAGATGAAACATTGCTAAATATCAACAAGATGGAAGGGCCACAGAAAGGACAGCATAGCAGCTTTAGATATTGCACTGGTCTACCTTCCTGAACACACTCAGGAATGTTTCCTGCATCCTGTGCTTAACACTAAAGGGAGGACAGATGTCCTATAGATGATATATGCTGCTGAGTAGGGTGTATGTAGGTCCTCAAAAACAAGATAACAAATAATAATACCTAACATTTATGGACCAAAAAATATGTGGATATACAACAGGCACTGAGTATGTGCTTTTAAAACATCATCTCCTTTAATGTGCATGCAACTCTCCATGAGTTTGGTATTTCATTGATAGGGAAACTCAGGGTCTTTGAGGGTAAGCAAATGTTGCCCAAAGTCACTAAGCACAAATATTGTAGAGCTGGGATTTGAATGAGGCCTAAAGCACATATTTTAAGTCTGCAGCAAGATTACAGAATATGGCCGACAGTGACAGATGGAATAGTTCTTTCTAAACAAAGTGGTCATGGCCCTTAAAGCGGAATGACTGGTAGCCTTGCCACCTATTTGTATAGGTGGAGACCTACACATTTTGTTGTTAATCCTCACTGGAGAATATTTTTTTCATGGCTTTTCAGAGAGATTGGAAAGGAGGGAGGGAGGAGGAGAGAGACAGAGGACAAGAGAGTACAATGTCAATGTGAGAGAGACACATTGATTGATTGCATCCCACACATGTCCAAAGCAGGGGCAGGGATCAAACCTGCAACCCAGGTACCTGGCCCTGACTGGGAATGGATGCTCTAACTGCTGCTGAGTAGGAAATGGACTACTGAGGGCGAGGCATGTACTTTCTGAGGCTCATGCCAGGCTAACCCCACAAAAATGGAAATCAATGGGAGACTGGAAGCAGAGGCCCTTGAGTTGTCTGTAGCATGAGTCAGTGAGTCAGTTGTTGACCTGAGACGAGAACCCACTATTCTCCCCATGGATGAGACTCTTCTTTTGTCTGTGGCTACAGATGCACACCTTTAATGGGATGGTCTCGACGCTGGTTTTGCAGTGTATTGATTGCGTGAAAATGAAAAGCCTACCAAAACGCAAATATGTTAAACTCATCACTTCATCATCTCTCAGGTTTTTCAGAGTCCTGGACAAAGAACAGGTCACGATGACAGGAGTTGTTCTTTTATCATTGTCTGTTCTTTCAAAGTGTTTGTAAATTAATTTGCTGATGATCTTTTCTTAATGTACTGCCCTGGGCCGCGCACCAAATGAAATCACTTGCACAATAATAGGGTTTCAGTTGTCTGAAGGCAAAAGCAGAACAATAAGGAAGCATTTGAGCAATCGTTTGTAATTGCATTTTAAACATTTATTTAAAGAAATAAGTACAAATTGTACTGCCAGAACTCCGATGATGGGATGGTCATTCTGTTCTGTGATTCTTAATGTGTTGCTTGTTGAAGTTTTACACCACGAAATATATGGAGCCCAGCAGAGGTTTATGTGTCCGAAGGAAACAATTGAAATATACAAGTCAACATTCGCCATTTTACCTTCAGAGATAAATGTGGGCTCAGGCTAATTCAGTTTTATGACTTATGTGCTGTTCTTACAGCTCAGGACACTGTCTAGGAAGACAAAGTCATTTTCCTTTTTCTTTATCTATTTCATCATCTTCATCTGAACTACAGGCTGGGCAGAGTTTGCCTTTTTAGCTGCAGGAGACTTTGACATACAGATGTACACATGTTGATGGGGTTATAACAGGCACACTTCTTTGGATATTTGGAATCACTTTAACTCTCCAAATGACTGTGTGGATGTTTCAAAAATATTTCCTTTGCCTCAAATATATGACCAGAGGCACTAAATCCAGAAATATTTGCTCAGAGCCTTTACAGTACCTGTACTATATATATATATATATAAACGTAACTGTTTGAAATATTCCTTTGCAGTCTTTTACCTCTCTAATTATAACCTGGTTTCTCCAGGAGGCAGGGTGATGGAAAGAGACTCAAAGTCAGAGTTGGGAGGCCAGGCTGGGATTTGTTCTGTGGGATAGATCTGTCCTTATTGGCACTAATAAGAGCTAGGATTTATTGAGTACTTACTATAAGGCTGGGACAGTGCCAGCCTCTTGCCATGAATTATTTCAGCGCTCCTATGAGCCAGTATTATTTCTGTCCCCACTTTGCAAATGAGATTCGTGGAGTTGATGTAATTCTCTCAAGGTCACACAACTAAAAAGCAGCAGAGCGGAAATTCAAACCCACTTCTCTCTGACTAAAAACCCAAACTCTCAGCGGACAGCTCTGGGCCACAGTTTCCTCATCTACGGACTTTGGAGGCTGAACCAGGAGATCAGGTAATAGTTCCCAGGCCTGAATTGTTGAGTTCCAGTGCAGCCAGGAAAACAGATGCAGCTACTTATGTTTGCCGTATATTTTAGTCTCAAAGTGGCTGAGAGCATCCTCCAACATTTGATGCTGAAAACATTGCAAGTAGCTCAACAGCCTGTAAGGAGGTAATTGTCAAACTGACACCAGCTGGGAAAGCTTTTCAGCATTTCAACAACCCATGGGGGTGTTTCTTAAGAGCAGTAAACTAGGTTGCTAAGTGTGTTTGTTGTCCATGGAGCTGAGACACGCCTCCAGTCCCCCGAGAATTTACTCTGTATCCTCAGGGTCTGCAACATTCATAATCTTAGGCTGACTGCTTGAATACAGCCAGACAGAATCTTTACGAACCTTAGAGACATTTGGTGTATTTTTCGGCCTAACTGAAAATTTCTTCCCCAGAGCATTACTTGCTGAATTTGACATTTGGTTCTCCAAGTTGCCACCTGCCCTTCCTTGTATCATTCATTCAAAGGTTTTTAACTGGTCATAGATGCTGTAGACATTGCATTGCGTTGGAAAATAATACGAGCAGACATTTAAAGATAGGTACATATTATATTTATAATGTTTTCCTTATGGTAAAGTCTCTCTTCTCATTTCCAAGTCTTTCCTCATCCTGTGCTGTTCTATAGCAATTCGTTGGACCCTATTTAAAGAAATCAGCGGCTTCTCCAGCTGTAATGCGAATAACAGCCATTGATACTTCTTAATGCGAGCCTAGGAATTTATGTTGAAAAGTGACATCATTCACTAGTTAAAATGCAGTCTGGCTTTGTTCATGATGCTAAAGCATCGAAGCCAATATAGCCAATGTTGCAATAGCAACAACAACAAGAATCAATCAAGCTGATTGCTTGGCATTCTGATGATGAGGCAATCGGCTGATTGGCTCAATGTTCTGTTTTTCAACTTGCTGTTGTAGTGCTACTCCCGAGTTTGCCTAAGGCTTTAAACACAGAGGCTCTAAAAAAACGTGGCCTTCAACATCATCTGGAAATTTGTTACAAATGTATATTCTCTGCTCCCAGCCCAGACCTACTGAGTTAGAAACTCTGGGGTTAGAGGCCCCAGCAATTCTGTTTCAAGAAGCTCTCCCATGGTGCGGATGTTGGCTAACATTTGAGAACCACTGTGGCATCAACTAGTTATAAACCATTTAAAAAGACTTCAGGCCGAAACCAGTTTGGCTCAGTGGATAGAGCGTTGGTCTGTGGACTGAAAGGTCTCGGGTTCGATTCCGGTCAAGGGCATGTACATTGGTTGCAGGCACATCTCCAGTAGGGGGTGTGTAAGAGGCAGCTGATTGATGATTCTCTCTCATCAATGTTTCTAATTCTCTATCCCTCTCCCTTCCTCTCTGTAAAAAAATCAATAAAATATATTAAAAAATAAAATAAAAAGACTTCAGTCACAGGAATCGATTGTCATTGTGGAAGGTCCCAAAGTTTCACCTAATTACTGGATTAAACCCGTTGAAAATTCACCAAAGAAAATGTTTACTGAAAAACAGCCCCTGAAGCTTTCAAGGATGCTTCCTTTATTTTCAATGTATTCAATTTTTTTTCTTCTAACCTTTTAAAATCTGTAAAATCTTCATAGAAGCCGAGTTTTGCTGATTGAATCCAAAGATTGTATACAGTAGCAATTATTGTCTTTGCGTAGATTGTGAGTGATCATTACACTTTGTCTCTTTTTTAGGTCAGACACACCAGTGGTTTAAAAATTTTATTGTCCTTGTAAGACATGCGAACTCTATTTAAGGCTCTCTTGGGTTTATAACCCATTGTGAGGCACTGACTCCTTTGAGTGCTTAAAGTGTGATTTTTTTGTAGCTTTTCCTACCGGTTTAGAAAAATCACTCAGCTACAAAAAGCTGCAGGAAGCATTTATACAGAGGCATCAAATTGGGGAAAAACTAGAAGGAGCAGGTTCTTGAACACATTTTTAATATTTATGATTTAAAAAAATGTAGAATGCTAGAGGAAAAACATCAAGTGTCTTAACCAAAAATTTACTTAACACTTTAATAAACTACTCATTTTGAGAAGCAAATGGTTTCAACACCTCTAAATATTTGAGATTAAAATAGAGAATGGTTAAACATGAACTTTTATTTTTTTATTTTTCCTAGTCTTGAGTTGGGATTGAGTGTTGAACAGGACTCAGTAATTTGTAATCTAAATCCATTCACTGTATTCACTAGGAAACTCCTTGCCTTTTGCTTGTAAAGTCAACTTGCTTCTTTTCTGTGATGTGAGCACCACCTAGAGTACATACCAGGAACTTCCTTTACACCAACATCTCTTTTCTGAAAATCTGCTCTCAGAACACTGTCCTTCCTTAAGTAAGCCAGAATCCTCAATAGCAATAGTATTTCAAAGGAAACAGCAAAGATTTTCATTCTCAGATATTACACCACGGTCAAGTTTGCTAGTCGGAATGTCATTTAAACCTTTCATTTACTGATGATTAACTCTTTAAGACAGGCATTATGAGGATGGTGATATACCATCACCATATCATAGGCTTTATCTACGAACAGACACAATTATTTCTTTAAAGTGTAATTGGGTCACCAACCAATTTTACACCAGCTTGATTAACCCAGAAACATTAAATTACCTCTGTAAATTAGGCAGTTTAACTAAAAGAAAGATAAAAAAATAACATCTTTGTTCATTACACTTTGTGAATCAAATTGGATATGTTTTGGCATTAAATGGCATGAAAGGAAATAGAGAATTGGTAAGTAATTTATTTTCAAGTGGTTGCTTCAGGAGATAACTATAAATCTGCAACCTGGACAACGATCCTGGGTCTGGATAGTGGCACTTACACCACAGGGCAATGCCCCTGACTGCTTTACCAAGCTGCTTAGTAAGTGAACAGAGAATACCATTTCCCAGGGTCTCCTGTTCCTTTTCACTCCTAGCTAAGGTGACCAGACATCCTGCTTTTGGCTGGATGCGGGGAAAATTGTTAAAAATTGAAACTGTCCCGCCAAAAGCGGGACGTCTGGTCACCTTACTCCTAGCATTTTTGTGGTAAAATACTCTTGGTCACAAAATCTGACTTTTCTCCAACTATTTTGTTTTGTTTAGCTTATCCAACCAAAGTATTAACACACACATTAACAACGTCGAAAGTAGCCTACTTTAAGAGGAAATATGCAGAAGAAGAAGATTTACATCAAGATTACCATGGGTATTTTCCAAAAGTAAGGGTTCACCTGTTTTTATTCTTTCATTTTTTAAAAATTTTACTTATTTACTTACTTATTTATTTATTTATTTATTTATTTATTTATTTATTTATTTTTATGACTCGGCCTACAAGCTCTGGCTTTCATGTTTCTAAGGCAAGTCGCTTTAACCATGTGCTTGCCTTCCAGCACTTGATATTGCCTGAAGACAGGACCTGCATACTCAAACTGTCTCTGGAGAAGCTCCGGTTTCTTGAAGACCCAGAAACCTACTTGAGAAGGTCTGTGCTAATTAACAATTTGCTGAGGAAGATCCACCTGGAGACGGAGAAGGAGAGCTATGAATACTTTAAGGAAGCTCCCTGCTATAAGACTGCTTATTCTGATGCAAGAAAACGGCTGAAGTTTATGGTACAGGAATGCTGTTCTCAGTCTCTCTATTACGAAGAGCTGCATTCGTATCATATCGTGCCTTACGCTTCGGAAAATGCCATTTACAGGATGGGCTACACTAGCAGCCACTTGGAGCAGAATTCTCAGTTGCTTATTTATAAAATGAATTAAAAGTGACTGTTCAAGTCCACTGATACTTTGTTTTCTAAATGCCTGAACTGTTTGTAGTGACGATGTGAACGTGAGGCACTTGAGATCCTACGTGAGATGCATGCTAACCTGATGGGAGAGAACTCTGGTTATTACTCAGCAGCCCTTGGTGTCACCCAGTCAAATTGGAAATAAGTCCACCCATTATTAAGAGGCGAGTTAAGTGCTTTAGAAGCACCTCCTCCCCCGATTTGTTTTAAGGTAAAGTATAGGGAGAGACTAGGTCGGCATTTTACACAGATTTAAACATTTTAAGCCTGTATTTCCAAATTCTGCCAACTCATGGTGGAAAATAACAGATGAAACTGATTCCATCTTGTCCCTGAGGATTAAGGGTGGAACAGATTTACAGTGATTTCCTGTAAACGATGAGGAGAGAGGTAGGTTCTTGCTGAAAAGCTTTGGTGGGTCAAGCATTGTGCCAAATAATTGTTTGACATCCTTCTCCTTTTAGCATTCGTGGCAATTCAAGATGGGGGAGACTTAGGGTGATTTAACTGCTGATGGTAACAACCAGACTCCTCCAACTGGATCCATGTTCCATTTTGCTTTTTGTTTTGTTGGGTCTCTTTTAAAGTGAAACTTCATAAGATAGCCTTGTGGATGGGCTTCTCTCTAAGTTCTGGGGGCCGTTAACATTTGTGGTGGGTCTTTAGTTGAGAGTTTCAGTTTTATTTATGATGTCTTTTTTTTTATAGGTTGTGAAGCTCAGGAAAAGAGTAGGCAGGGAAAATTTGTTTTTAATAGGTTGATCATTAAAAAAAAATCTTATCTGAAAAATTGGGGGGAACAACAGAAATTCTACATGATGTTATTTCTTTACCTAAGAGTGCATTTAAGGCTGCCTGGGTGAAACTTTGCACTGACTTTTGTACAATCGTTGACCATTCCCTATTTGACAAGATGTGTCAGAATGCCTTTGGGTCTAGTTTAGATATGCCCCTGTATTTTGCAACTTGAAAGCTAATTATTTAACAAGTTGGGTAGATTCCTAAAATCCTTTGAAGTAGCTCATTGTTTTCTTTGAGGTTCCAGTGAGACATCTGATTTCAATGTCTTGAATTATATCCTATGCAGTATATCAATTAAGTAATTGTCACTAACTGGTGAAGCAGATTGGGAAAACTAGGTGCCAAAGGTATATTCAAGAAAATACCAAAGACCCAAAGATGAGTGTTGGCTAGAGTAGGATGACCAAGATAAGACTCTTAAATAAGGATTATACAGGACAAAGGAGAACATTGTGAGAGGGTTTTGGAAAGATTTGCCTACTGATGTTCTTTCCGAGCACTTTGCGCATCCTCATGATAATCAAGGACACTGCTTTAAATGAAGACATGACAGGCCTTCCGTGATCCTATGTTTTGGCAAACGTAAATATGGTGATTTGTCAGCCTTGTATCTTGCTTCGTTGATAAGCCATCTTATAACTAGGAAGGCCTTTTTCTCTTCAAGAGAATTTTGTTTTTAGTTTTGACTCAGACCTTGCTCCCTCTAATGAATCATAGAGGTGATTAACATGGATGCTTTTGGTATAAAGAATATCAGTACTCTAATCAGCATGCATTGTTAGAACAACATAGCTATATAATTGATAAAAGTATCTGGTTTACATTTAATTGCTCAATCAAAACTAGGAAAAATGCATTAGAACAAACTGAAAAATTATAATTGATGTTAATTTCTAAAGGCATTTTGGTACAAATGGTGAGATAGCTTTGAAATACAAATATAAATATTTAAAAATTTAATTTAAGGACAAAAACTTGGCCACAAAGTTTTAGAAACTTTATTTTACGGCATATAAAGTACCTTATTTTCCAGAATGTGTCTTTTAAAATGCAGATTTCTTAAACTTGTGGGGACATTATTTGAATAGACTCAAAATTTGTTAGGATAATACTGCTATCATATAATTAAAAATAGAATTAGCTCTCCAATAGTTTAAATTTTTACGGAAAAGAACATTTGGCCCCATTTAGGACAGTGTCTACAAGAAAACACACTAGTGCTAATAGATGTGACTTACTAAAATGTCACATATTACAATTGTTTGAGGAGAGAAATGCACATACTTTGCAATATAAAAGAGCAAGAGAGAGAGAGAGAGAGAGAGAGAGAGAGAGAGAGAGAAAGAAAGAGAGAGAGAGAGAGAAATTACCAAGACAGCGTGCAACTGTAATGTGACAGAAATCTTAAACAAAGCAAGAACTCTTAGTCACTGAACCAGTAAGAGATGTGAAGTCTGTTTATTTGGTGACATCATTAACCCAGCTCTCTGAACTATACATTCACATGTAGAGAAGGAACTTATAAACCAGCAGTATTTCTGAATATGCTTTCAAAAAAATATGTGCTGATTTCAAAACATGTTATTTAAAAATTATCTTTTAGAGCATCAAATTTCTCTTCCCAATAAATAACTCATAGATGAGTTGACTAATGCTATCTTGACTTTAAAAAGTAATATTTGTATTTCAACTATGTAACTTTCTGAGCTAATAAGATTGCTGTGACTTATCCTGCCACACTGAACCATAGGGAGACCCTGCTAGACCTGCTCTAACAAGGTACAACTTTTTTGAACTTGGATGACCAGAGCCACTCTTAGAGAGTAAGACAGAGAGGGTGGGAAATCTGGGTGCCTTTGGTAATTTTGATCACTCTTGTGGGTGCCCAACCAGCCTGAAGACCTAGTAAAAAAAAAAAAAAAGAAGAAATTAAAAAAAAAAGAGGAAAAAACGAAGAGATGAGGAAAGGGAAAAAGGAGGGCAGAGAAATAGGAAACAGGATTAGTAAGTGAAAGGGAAAGTTGTTCCATGTGGGGAGGGGTTTCTTGCTTATTATACTCAATTTTGCTTTAAATGATACATCTAAAACCTGAGGTCCTCAATGAATGATCTTTTCTTTCATTTGCTGATGATGCACAAGATTAGGTTCTATTCAGTATATGCATTATTTGAAATGTGGTATTTCTGTGAAACATACCTGACACCGAGCTTCTGGGCAGACGAGAAAAGGAAAAGTAGAAATGAAGGCGAGGAAAAGACTATATGGCAAGCTTGTGTATACATGGGTAAGCTCGAATGCAGGATCAGATTTTGATGTATATTCCTAAATATAATAAGTTCTAGTGCTGGAGGATGTGGGTGGAAGGAAGTGCAGTTCCCCACTATTAATTGAGTAACTACTATGAGCGAGGCACTGTGCCAGGGCAGAGGATATACTAGTAGAGAAGAATGTGCACAGTTTCTTGGCTTCAGCAGTTCGCTGATGAGAGAGGAACTCAGCAATGTATGGCTTTCGTTTAAAAAATAAGGATTCTATTGGGAGTAGCACCTGCATTTCTCTTTTCTACACTATGGGATTGTTCTCAAGTGTATGTCTCCAAAGGCATTTGTGGGAGAAGGGAAGGTCCACTAACCCAGATCTTAAGAAGGAGTGTGCGTTCTGCTTTGAGCATTTAAAACAAAAAACAAAAACCTGGAGGCATAATAGAAAACTGCTATTGAAGAGGGAGAGCATGGATGACTTGAGCCCATTCCTTGGACTCAGGAGGTCAAACACTGACCAATTTCTTATCCTTTGACTTCTGTAACTTTTTCTTTCTTTCTTTTTTTTTAACAAGAGAAAATGAGGCTAATATTCATGTCAAGGAGAGTCTTGAAGAGAAGCAGAATTGGAAAAAATCATAACCTGAGAATTGTATATAGGGTGTTCAAGGTGAAAAAGGGCAGCATTTTTTAATTCTCCTTGTGCTGGTGAATAGCTTAAGTGAATCCCAGATGTATCTTACCATCCGCTACTGGAGCTATGGTCCTTCTCTACCACTGGCTTCCAGTCTGAATCACAGTCTAACATCCTATCTTTGCTGCAACTAGAAGTTATGGTTCTAATTCCTCACTCTCCTTTCCCCCAGCATTGATACTGATTTGCCCAAATATATTTGCAGGAAAGTAACAATTTGCAGTATGGCTGCACTCCTGTGGGAAAGGGTTTTCAAAATGTATCAAACTAGAATTCATCAGTTTCTTGATACAATTCTTTGGAAAATTATTGTGCTTAGTCATTAAATAATTGTCTGTTAAAGTGATCTTCATGTTTCTAGAGTTCACTGTATTCATTATCTGTTGTGTACATTTTTGCTAAAGAAAAAAACAAAAACAAAAACACCCAAAAACCTTAGGTTGGAAACAGTGGCGGACTGTGTGCAATTAATTCAAACAGTTCATGAATATTTATGTAATATATGAAATTTTAACTTACATTTTCCCTTTCTCAAACTTCAATACTACATGCATCAGCATGTGACCCGTTTTAGGTGTTTTATTTCTTTTTTTAAGTGAACCCTGCTTACAAGTTGTTTCATTCATGGTTGAACACTTTGGGCAAAATTTCCCCATTAAAGTGGTTCTTAGCTGTTCCCAAGGATGACTTAGAGCTGTGCGGATGAAGAACTTTCCTCTGCCTTAGCACTTCTCCAGTCTTCGGTGCATATAAGTCACGGAAGATCTTGGTAAAGTATGGGTTCCTTGTAATAGGTCTGAGATGGGGCCCATGGGCCTGCATTTCTCCAGTTGCCTGGGTGATGTGCGTGCTGCTGGTCACTGGCCATACTTTGAGTAGTGAGACTCTCTATTACATTGAGAATCCAAATATACATTCAAGCCTGTACTCTTTACTGTTTTCAAAGAATATGTGTTCATGTCAGTTTTCTATAGACTTTTTTTTTTTCTTTAAAGAAATGCAAGGTAAAAGGTAAATATCATAAACCGGTTTTCCAAATCAGCCACAAATATGCAAATAGTTTGTATAGTCAAATACAGAGAAAATTATATCCCTTATAAAATTTATCTACATCAAGGAGCAAAAAAAAGAACATGGATGTAGTCATGTACTGCTCTTATCAGCCAAGAAATGATAAATTGTAAATTTCTCTTCTCAATACTCACCCCTCCCCCCCCAGCCTTGACTGTATACAGATAAGGGAGCGCCATTTAGTAGCATTAGGGCAAAGGTGAAGTTTTGTTCATAGTCAACAAGAATTGGGCACTTTTTTTTTTCTTGGCCAAACCTAAGAAAATCTTTGAAAAACATTCTATACTGAACTCAGAATTATGGGTAGCTGCAGAGCCTGAAGAATTTGGGAAACCTGAGCTGAAAAATCGCACCTTGATCTTCAACTTCTGCTTTGAACTCTTTCTTGAGCTTTATTCCATGAGGGCCCCTCCCCTTGCTGCGGGCATGGTCGTGAGTGAGTGAGTGATTGAGGGGCAGAGGATTGGTGTAAATGAGAGTGTAACACAAAAACTGTCTAATCTGAGCATGCCAAGTGATCTTTTTCTGTCAGGCTCTCCTTCGGTCATAAAGTGTTGGTATAGCTATTGTGAAATATAGTGTCATAAATTTGTCATAAACCATTAACAAAAGGAGAAAAGAGTTCTGTGAAAAATGCACTCAAATATCAAGCAGATGGTGTTCTACAACATTTGGGGAAATGTGTACCTGTTACATAATCTAACATATGTCTTTTTAACATTTAAAAATATTTGGTTCATGATTTAGAGTTTTTATTGGATTGTTTTTTAAACGGAGGGGGAAGAAGAAAGGTAACTGTATTTTAAAACCTATTTGACATGTTATTAATAAATTTTTATTTCTGGTGAAATATAGGTGCCTTATTAAGTAGGGGAGGGGGGGGGGTCATGAATGTTTGGCAGTTGCTTTACGCCCTTCAATTCTAGAGGTCTCATGTGCAAAGAGTGGCATCTGGTGATATTTCTCTCAGCAGTTTATTTCCAGCACAAGGTTTGCTTAGGTACCTGGAAGACTTCCCCATCTCCTGGCAAATTTTCTTCACTATCATTGAGCCTGAAATGGTCTTTGCGTAGCATGAGCCTTGAGAACACATGGCAGAACTCACTCTACATAGGCCTTAGGCAAACATCATAGGTATAAATCTCAGAGGAAAAGGCAATTTCTCTACCCAGGGAACAGCAGCGTTTGCTCTCCGTGGATTTATTAGGTGAAAGGAAGATAGGATCCACCAGGAATATCCTTTCTTCTCTTTCCAGTAGGGACTTGTGTTTATTTTCAATTTTTCTAACCAGGGGATGATCAAGTCCCCTACATCCCAGTGTCTAGTGAGCAATGCCCAGTGTAAGGTATTTCCGAGCAGTCAACATTTCTGTCTGTGTATCCAGCAAAGGCAAAGGCTTAAGTGTCAAGTGATTTGAGCAGCTCAGGGACAACTAACTCATTTACATTACAGAGACTTTTCTGTATGTGTTAGTAGAAACTGAAACATATACTATGAGTACATCTAAGAGGGTAACGAAATAGCCAGTGGCTCTCTTCCAGGAGTCAGAAAACAACCTTGCATATTACATAAGTGCCTTGGATAGCATCCAGTCAGTATGTGGTGGTAATAAATCTTGTTATCCAAGTGAATATAGTTTTTTTTTCTTTTATATATGAACGCATTTTTCCATTTGTGCTCTATGTTTTTTAGTCCAAGAATAGGTGGTTATACATTTTTTCCCTATTTGAAGGTTTATGGAACACACACTGGAGAAATCACAGGTTGCAGGTAAAATGGCCTCTTTATTCTTCTTCATTACTATTTTTATCATTATTAATTACTAGAGATCCAGTAGAAATCCATGCACTATGGTAGGGGGATTGGGGCCCCTCAGTCTCATAGTCTGGGAGCCCTTGGGGGATGTTCGACTGATGGTTTAGGCCTGCTTCCCTAAGCCGGCAGTTGGACATTCTTAACACTATCACAGAGGCGGGAGAGGGTCCTGCCACCACCACTGCGCTCGCCAGCTGTGAGCCCAGCTCTGGATGAGCAGCTTTCCTCCTGTGGGAATGCACTGACCACCAAGAGGCAGATGCTCAATGCAGGAGCTGCCCCCTGGTGGTCAGTGCACATCATAGCGACTGGTCATTCTGCAGTTTGGTCAATTTGCATATTAGTCTTTTATTATATAAGATTTTATTATTATTATTATTATTATTATTATTATTATTATTATTAAGACATAAAAGAAAGGATGAGTACTGTGCTTCTCTCACTGAACTTGAAATCTGCTTAAGA